TTGGGAGGAAACTGGAGATACTGGCTGCCATGGAGGGGTATTATAGGCTTAGAGGATGTAGACTGCAGTTTTCCCCACATAGAGGTGGTGAGTGACTGAGTTGGAAAACACCACAGCAATTATACCACACTCTTCTACCTTTTTACATTCTGAGTTACCACCTACATCTCAGTTGTCAGAGTCACTTTGAAGTTGCAGCCTTTTATAGCAGTGTGGAAGAGGGACCTAGATGGCTAGAAAGACATGCAGAACACCATGGACTGTGTTTGAGCAGAATACACAGGCATGCTGTGCTCCCTCTACCCATCTTCCTATTCCTCCATAGACTAGTGCAATAAATGTATTAAAACTTAAAGAACTATGGGGTTAGGGTTTTTCCCCATAAATCTCCTAAGGGTAACGGGAGGACACAAACTAGCGTCCTCCAGTCACTCAAAGCTCAGTATACCGCGAGCTACAGCTCGCGGTATACTGAGACTCCGCAGCCGGGACGGATCCCGACATTATTGTCTGGATTAACCCAGCTGCGTGAGTGACAGCTGGCTCTACCTATCTAGAGGCAGAGCCAGCTGTACCCGCCCCCTCCCCCATCCGTTCCGCCAGTCAGCGCTGGAGGATCGAACAGGGGAGGGGGGAATCCCTGCAGTGAGCCGTGAGTGACAGTCACGGCTCTCTGCAGGGACAGGATCAAAAAGTTGAGTGAGCAAAGGTATGAGTTTGCTCACTTCCCGATCTATTGAGTCGACCTGTGACAGTTTCATTGTCGCAGGTCAGCTAGAACTATGAGGCTGAGTGATTTTTCACTCACCTCCATAGCTCTCCTTTTTAACCCTTTCGCTGCCAAGGACGTACGTCGTAAGGAGCTACAAAAGTGCTTCCAGCTGGCCAGCTCAGTACGCCGTACGGACCTGGCATTTACAGTTCTACTATAAGCTGATGGTCGCTATAGCGACCATCAACTTATAGTAGAACTGTTCAGCAGACTGTCCCCTTTAAATTTATAGCTGTCATCAGCGGCTCACAAATACCGATCTTCTGATCTGGTCTGATCTGGTCCGTCTTCTGTCATCCTGTCAGTTTTTGGATGACAGCGGCTCTGTAGCGTGGCCGAGCGGGGGATCGTTAAATATCAATGATATTTAACGATCCCTTTGTACAGAGCAAACACCGGAGTGATCGTCTGATCACTCCGGTGTTTGTAAATAACTGGGGACACATAGTACTATGTGTCCCCAGTTATTAATGAACAGGCTGCGATCGACATCACAGTCTGTTCATTGAAGAATTTATGAATGGGTACTAGCACTCACTACAGAGGCTCCTCCCCATTCAGAAACTAATGATAGTAACCTATTTTTACTGTCATTAGTTTGTGAATTAATGAGAAGCCTCTGTACTGAGGCTTCTCATTCATTGAGTTGGAGGATCGATAAGTATCATTGATATTTACCGATCCTCTGTGCAGCACAAACACCGGAGTGATCGCATGATCACTCCGGTGTTTGTAAATAACTGGGGACACAGCCGTGTGAATAACCAACCCGAAGTGAAGTGTATCCGTTCGGCTATTCATAAATTCAAAAATGGCTTGGCCAGCTGATTTGAAAAATGTTCCGGAGGGCTTGGCAGCGAAAAGGTTAAAGTAAAGTGACGATGTTTACAATGTTAAGCCAAAGACAAGTGATAAATGGCCTAGAACTTTTACTGACAAGTAAATACATTGTGAGTGAGCTTGGGGTGGTGGCTACTATATCACACACACAGAGGCCATGGGAAACGAAAATAGCCCCCCTCCAGAAGGAAGGACAGTGTCAGTATGAATTCAGAGATGATTTGAGGATCTACAGCTGAGTGATAAACAAAAGCTACATTTGTCTTAATAGGGTGCTTGAAGAATAGATATTTAAGATTGAATTCCAGAGTTTAGTGTCCCCAGGCTTGACTTATTTGGTATCTATTTTCTTAGCGCAACCTTATCTTTTATATTTTACAAAAAAAAATGGATATTGTATTATGTTCAAGTGCATTAAATTAATGTAAGTGTATTTTTTTTTAACTGAAAATATAGATTTGATAAACAGTAGCACAATTATTGCGTAAGGTAAAATTTACAACTGCTACCATTTTATCCTACAGGGTCTCTACTTCAGAACATATATGATTTGGGGATGTTAAGTAATCTTTACACCTCACATGTGCATTTTAACATGAACATATGTGCCAAAAATAAAGGTTTTAAGAATGAGCAAAAATTAGAACCACTTCTTTTTCTTTTTTTTTTTCTACCTGTTCCTTGCCATCCTAATAAAACTCCATTTTCCATAATTCTACTCAATCAAAACCTGACAGATTTTTAAATCCATCCTTCCTCTATTACAAATGAAATTAAAGACAAAATGGCCGAGATTGAGCTTTAATGTTTCTAGAAAATCATTTCATTTTTTTTTAATCTACACAGAATGCCATCAAATTTGAGGAGACACTTCAGGAAAAAATTACAGCTTTCCAAAAGCACACCGAGTCAGACCAAAGTTCTCTACTTCAGGAGATTGCAGGGGAAAAACAGGTTGGTATTTGTGTTTTATTACATTTAAAGTATCATTCACTGTATTACCTGAGGTAATTGTACTAAACTGACAAAAGCAGCCATGTTTTGTCTGTGGCAGGACTGCTTTTACCATTTATATACAGTAGACTTATAATTAGTAACAGAGGCTAGGTTCCTTTTTATTCCTATTAAAGTGGATCCATCGGTAAAACTATAGACCTTGTCTGGCAGCCCTTTAGTAAGGCAAAAGTATCAGCAATGCCTGCATATGTAATGGGCAAATATTGCTGCATCATGTACATAGAAAATTACAAAGCCTACATAGAAGAAAGGTTTTAAAAAAAATAACACGGATTGATAAGGTGATTTTAATATGAACTGGTCTCTTTCACATGCATAGCTAATTTCCCCATGGATGAAAAAGAAAAATCAGTCAATATACAGTATATGTAAATGCAAAACTTTACATAAGAGTAGGGAAGAGATTATTTTTGCATTGTGTCCTTTTGGGGAGATTTCCATTCACTTCCCTTCACTTGTCTTGGAAATTAAGTGAAAACTTTCCTGAGTGAATTAAATTCTCATCTTGGAGAGTTATCACAAGAACAGATGTCCCCATTGGAGGATTTTCCTTCACCTCTTGCTCTGATTTTTGGATTTCCCCTAATTTCTGTCTTGGTGATTGATACAAATAGAACAGTGAATCTTTCAAGCCAAGACACAAACATTTAAAAAAAGATCTACCCCTTCCCTACTCTAAAAACAAACAAAACAAACAAAAAAAACTTTATAGCTTAACAAGGGCTGAATTTAATTCACTTATAATTTGGTACTTGGTATGATTCAAGGCCATCTCTTTGTATTTGTATCCTCTATATTACCTCCAACTATAACAGTCCGATAGAAAGACCATCCCACTTCCAAACTGCAAACATGTAAATAGGGTTAGAAATCCACCTGACATGAACTTTTGAATAATGTTATACTTTGTGGCGTGATTAACAAATCCAGAAACCTTTTGTGCGAACAAGGTGAAGTAACTGTTGCCTACCCATTGTCTCCAGTGAGGTTAATTGTGAACTAATGTCAACATTAACAACAATAGCATTGGTGTTAATGCTTGGAACCTTTTTAACAGTTCTTATGAGCCTTATTTATTAATGTGCAGTGAAGAATTTTTTTTAGAGTCTGTGTTGCCAAGACATGTTTATAAATAAACATAATTGTGGTGTAACACTGGTATCCTGAGATGTGTAGCACCGTTTGCCAAATGGCTAGGAAAACTGGTCAAACCTCCACAAAATGTTCATTAATGCAATATGATTTTCAATAGCAAATATTTTTAAGACAGGTTACATTTATACACATGTACGTTGTAGAAGTGCACATGGACGTGAGATTGCGTATTGAGCCAAATACAAAGGGAAACAAAATAAAGTTTGTTGGTACATTTAAATGCTCAAAGTTTATGGTACTCAAGTCTAATAACATTAAGGGAAGAAAGTATGACAGAAACCACATGGATGCCAGATAAGTGCATTTAAAAGCAACCTGCAATAGATGACCTTTAGGGCTCTCTCACACGTGCGTTGAGAATTCACTGTGCGATCAACGCTCATAAATGCACCTATAGCGTTAAGGCATTCATACAAGCATGCTTCCGGAACGAATTATGCTCGTAAACCAAGGTATCACTGTAAAAGTAAAATGTAAATAAATACACCACATATTTGAAACAGTCCTTTTAATTGAACAAAAGTCCTTTTAATTAAAAAACCCCAAAAAGTAAAAAAATGGTCAATCACGGCATCCAGCATTATCAACGCCGCCGCCTACCCATCACAATAAAAAAAGGCCGCCAACCAGTCAGCACCTGACAAACACACGCCACAAAATGACAGCTGCTGGCCAAATATCAACAAATAAACTGAGATAGCGGTGACGTCACCATTTGGTCGGCAGCTGTCATTTTGCGTTGGGTGCAGACTGGTCGGCGGTGTTGGGCTTTTATTTCGGCGGTGTCGTTAACAAGGCCGGACGCTGTGATTGACCGTTGGATTACTTCGATGGAAGCATTTTTTTAAACTTTTTTTTAATTAAAGGACTTGTCAAAAACTTGTGCTGTGTTTTTTTTCTTCAATTAAAGGACTTTTTCAAAAGTGTGGTGTATGTATTTACATTTTCCCTTTTAACCCTTTAGTGAATGAGTAGGGGTACCAGTACCCCTAATCATTCACAAAGGGGGGGGACATCTGGGTGCCTCAAAGTGGTACCCTGATGAAAATAAGCCCCCTTGCCCTCAGCCCATGTAACGTATCACTGAGGGCCAAGATTAATTACCTGATTTACAGATGCAGAGTCTACAGCCAGGTTATTCGGGTAGAGTGTGGTGAATACAATGCGTCTTCCTATAAACGCAGCAGGATCACTTCAGTATTGCTCACTTAGCACTGTTATGATTTGGGAGTGCAGTCTATAACAATAGAATCCTTAACACACAGGATAATGGAATAGCCTTCCTTCATACAATCCCTAATTGATTAGAGAGTGTTATCCAGTGTTTCCTCACACCAGGACAAGCAGACTGGTTGTAGTATAACAGTTCATACAATCCAATAAACAATAATAATAGGAAGGAGTATGTCAGTAATCACTGACATGCTAAGGAGCTCAGCAGTGAAGATCCTTTTGTGAGCAGGTATTGCTCAGTGTTCTGTTGCAGACAACCGAACACCAAGCAATTCAAACACTGCGGTTAAATGTGGGCGAGCCAGAAGAGGGAGGATCAGCATGCCTGGCCAGGATTGGACGGTGGCGGACGTTCACTACGGTCTGTTACAGCCCCCCACAACTAATGTGTTGGGGCTAGTGGGTAGAGGCCCTTGTCTCCATTGGCACGGGGGACGAGGTGCTTTTCCAGGGTCCCTCCTGGAACAGCACCCTTCCAATGCCGAGGGTATGTGGCCTGGTATGTTGCGGGGGGCTCGCTCGTTTCCCCCTTTCCTGCCCGTGCTCGAATCAAAGGGTCTGGAATAGGGATGTCCCGATACCACTTTTTGAGGACCAAGTACTTCCCCGTGTACTTGCCGATACCAATTACCGATACTTTTTAAAAAGGTACAGGTGACTTTAAATGATCCATAGTACAACTACATGTTATGTACTATGGATCATGATTTAACCCATTCATGGTTAAAATACAGGCACAGGTATGCCCTGCCCCATTGTGCAGTTACTGAGCACTGCCATAGGACACTGGCATCACCTGTGTTATCTAATGGAACATCTAGTCATCATGGGTGTTGCTTTCATTTATGTAACCACTAGGGAACTACAGGTATCAGCATGTTCTGCCCCATCGTGAGCTCCGCCATCTCCTGTGGGGCTATCGCACATATCCGCAGGCGTATCCTGACTGTATGGTCACTCTGATGTCATCTGCTCTGCAGACAGATATATATAATGGCCACATACTGTATTTCTGGATTATGGGAGTGTGTGGCAGTTGGGGGGACTACAAGTGTCAGCCCGCTTTATTAGGCAACAGCTGGGCACTTACCTGTCAGCGAGAAGACATCTTCATTTGGGAACTACACGCACCAGGATGACCTCATGAGCTCATCTTTAAAGAACAATGGCGGCCATGCACTGGGCAGTAACGGCTAAACAGCGTATGCAATTCACAAGAGACAGTAAAGTCGCCCTATTTATTGGAGAACTACAAGCTCCAGCATGACCAGACATGGTCGTGGAACACTGATGTCACCTATGTGGCTAGCTGAATGTTATCATATGCCATGCATTTGTTTAAGATTGGAGAACTAGCAGCATCAGCATGGCCTACTTTGCTGGGCAGTGCCATGTCCTGCCACTTTATTACATAATAATCCTTTACAATCCATATATTTCAGCACTTGAGGTACTACAAGTCTCAGCATGACCTGACAGCCTCCCTTTATTTTGCAGCGACTAGATGCTGCAGCAGGCCTCTGGCTTTCCCTGTTATCTAAGTGATTCTAATTAAAGTGTATTTGGCCATTATAGACTCCCAAAGCCTCTGGGGAACTAAAAGTCTCAGCCTGTGAGCCTTCTGTCATTGTACCTGTAGTGGAGGCTCCAGTCAGTGAGGCCCAGCCGCTGCTCTCAGGTGTTCACCGGCATGAAGGACATCCGTCGGCGAAGAGGAGCATTGCCTCACTGCTACTCCGGTGGGCGGTGCTCTGAGTGGGATTCTCTGGGCAGTCGACGGCCACCTACATTAGGACCCACCTGGAGCTCCGCCCACAGCAGCGACGCTCCTTCGCTCAGCCTGCCCAGAGGGCCCCTCCACGGAACGTAAAGTTACAAAAAAAAAACAGCGCAAGCGTCGGCGCTATGCATCGGGGCATTTTGACAAGTACTTGTCAAAATGCCCTGTATCGGGCCCGATTCCGGTGCTAGCATCGGTTTCGGGACATCCCTAGTCTGGAATTTTAGGGGGGACCCCACATTTTTTCACCCGTTCTTTTGGGGGGTGGGGTTCCCTCATAAAATTCCTACTAGATCTAAAGGGCCTGATTTGACTTTTGGAGGGAACCCCACACTTTTTTTTTTTTATTTTTAACTCTGGGTGTCCCTAACTTTCGGAACAGACCTAATGTGTCTGGTATGGATCGGGAGGGGGACCCCATGCACTTTTTTGTTTTAACTATTAACTTGGGATCCCTTCTATTGCAAAATCGCCTGTGCAACGCTTTGTTAAATGCCTTGTTAACGCTCTAGAGAGTGTTGAACGAACGTTAAAAGGCAGTTCAGTAGATTTCAATGGAGGCATTATTCCAGCAGAAATGTCTCTAAAATGCGACATGCACTCTATTTTTTGACACAAAGCAATGCAATGCTGACGCCCATGTGTGAACTGTACTGGGTGGTTGCTATAGTTTTATCACACATGGGCATTACTAGGCAGCAGAGAGGCGTTAAAAACGTTTCTTAAACGTCTGGTTTTGACACATGTGAAAGAGCCCTTACACATTCCTGGGTTTCACGCTAAGGTTGAAGGCCATTAAAAATGGCAATTTTAGTAACAATTTTAAAGCTTTTGGACCAGAAATAGCAGTAAGATTTAAAGCAGCACTGTATTGCATCTGATGTATATACAGTATTTTATGTCTGATTTTTTTGGATGTGTTATACAGGTGCAGCAATACATTTCTCTTCTATCTACAATTATGAAAGAGAATTGTGATGTACGATTTGCAACTTGTGTTTTTTCATGCTCCTTGGCACTGAATATACACGCAAGGACTGAAAACTCCCAGCATCAGGTATGATTTTATTACCAATTCCATTGCTGGCATTTTAATTTACATGTATTGTCAACAACTTAGCATATAAATAATTTACTGAATTAGAAGGTCTTTTGCTCTTATTTATGGGGTCGTAGTTGGTGTCTTGCCAGTAAAACTACAACATTGAGTTTTTACCTTTTTTTTTTTTTTTTTTTTTTTTTTTTTAAAGTCAATTTCCACCTATGTAAGTAATTATCATGTATTGTAGTAATGTAGAGGTGCAGTGATGATATATATGTGTGAACATTTTCATGACTCGCATTGCAGGTTTTCTTTTTTTAATGGTTTTTTAATTAGGCTTGAATCCTACAAATGCAACATTTTCTCGACAGGAAATTGAGTCTGACGCAGGGTCGGATTGTAAAGCAAGCTGTAAATCTCAGCTGTAATTTACTGCAGATTGCTTGCATAGTGCAAAGGAAGCCATTTCCATGAGGATATGAAGAGGAAAGCTAACAAAACACACATGTTTCTGTGTTTGTTTATATACAGCAAATGCATAGTCCTGCTTCTCTGAAAAGGTGGAAATGTGGGCCCTACAAAGAGGGTTGGCCTTTGCCAACTATTGACTTCAGATAATAGAGAAAAAGAAATCCTGAGATCAAGATGCTTTTTCAGCTAAGCTGCTGGGCTGTATGTTAGTCAACCTAATAATGAAACAATGAGGTATAGCAAGCACAGACAGAACAGTATCGAAGTAGTTGACATATTTTCAATGGAGAGTGAGAAAAGGGTTACAGGTGCAGATTGAAGCAGAGGAGTCTGGAGAGCCTCTTTATAGTGGAGATGTGCTACTAAAGCTATACTTCAGTTTGAGAAGACACATTTAACTTAACATGTAATAAAAAAGATATTAAGTGGTGGTGTGAAAATCAAGATGATCAGTAGATCTAGATATATAGAGAGCTGCTGAGATTTTAGGTAAGCTTGACTTTTTTTTTTTAGGTAAAACGTCATGCTTGACCCAACCCCTTCCTGCCTTTGCATCCTCTTAATGGTTATCGCAGTAACTGGCAGCACTGTTGACCAACAAGGAAGGTCAGGGGCAGGGAGTGGTGAGGCCAATCTTATGTTTACAGGAGAAAGGTAAATAAATTAAACATCCTATATCAATGAATCTACTAATTGTTATGCCATGCTGTATTCACCGAAGGTAACACCTGGCTCTGTGGTTTTTCATCATATCCTTCCTGAGACATTTTGCATGACGTTCATATATTCCACTCATGTATAAGTATAACATAATAACTGCTTCTTATATTCCAGAATGATAATGATCCACGCTTGACCCTGGAGGAAGCAGCTGACCTGTGTAGAATACAGTGCCTTTCTGTAGCAATGAGAATCATTTTGCCACTTTGCCAGAGAGCGAAGTTAAGGAGAATAAAAGGAAAATGGAACAGAGACTCTCTCGTATTTTTACGCTTGGTAAGAAATTATTGGTCTCACTTTATTGTATTTTGTAGTAAAAACAGATGATCCCATGACACATACTCCAACACACAGGGTCGGCCTTAGGCGCCCTGTGCGAGAAGCTTTACAGCGCTCCTCAGTGACCACACCTCTAAGTAACCACACCACTCACTAGCCACATCCATTTCCCCCCAATCTCCGAACCATTTAAAGACTCCCATTTTGTTAAGCCCCAAAGAAACATATTAAAAAGTATGATAAAAATAAAACTTTTATTCAAAGGTATTAAACTTGTAAGCACAATAGAAGTATTCTTATTAAATAGAACTGTAGGCAAACAAGTGGTAAACAATAAATGTCAAACTAAAAGAAAATCTATAAAAATAGTGTCAGGTTGTCATGCCGACCCGTTTTTTCAAGTGCATCTAGAAAAGTAAAAATAAAAAACGGAACGCAAAACCTAGAATACATGTTAAATTATTGAATTACTATATGCCCGAATATACGGAAAATTTATTCAGGCACATAATTTGTTTGCGAATGTGTGGCGGCCATGTTGGCCACCGGTGCATTCTGCGAATGCGTGCCACAATCTTGGAGGTGGGGAGCATGACGTCACATGACGCCATGCGTGGCGTCAGGTGACATCACACGCCGATATAGGCGCCGACATCCTGGTGTATACCTAGATATACACCAAGATGGCGGTGCCCAACACGTGCGGTGTTATATGACGTCATGCGCCCTGCCTCTAGAACAAGCCAGTGGCTGAATCCAAAATAGCATAAAAATTTGTTTTGTTTGAAACGAATGGAAACGTTTAGTTTTCGTTCATTTCATCTGAAATTAATTTTTAGTATTTGCACATGTCTAATGTGTGTGGGGGGTGTAATTTTCACTTTAAAAAAATAAATGAATGGAAGGCACTCAGTACAGAGGCTTCCCATTCATTCAGAAACAGGTGATAGTAAATATTTTACTATCACCAGTTTATGAATGGGGAGAAGCCTCTGTAGTGAGTGCTACTACCCATTCAGAAACTCATGAATGAACAGGAAGTGATGTTAATCACATCCTGTTCATTCATAACTAGGGATACATAGTTCCCAGTTATTTACAAACACTGGAGTGATCAGACGATCACTCCAGTGTTTGTCCTTCAGAGGATCGGTAATATCACTGATATTTACTGATCCTCCGCTCGGCCATGCACAGAGCCGCTGTCATCCTGAAACTGACAGGATGACAGCGGCTCGGATCTCCTCAGCGATCTGTCGTCCTAACAGCTTCTCTCCTCACTGCTCTGCCATCCTGACAGCAGGCAGCTCTCCCTCCTGCACATCGGGGGGAGAAGGGGGCTCCCTGATGTCAGAGGCCGAGCGGTGAGGAGGAGAGAAGCTGCAGGCTGTAGCCACTCCAAGGACGAGCTGTGTCGATCACCTGGCGCCCTTGTTGCCATGGCGCCCTTGTTGCCATGGCGCCCTGTGCGGCCGCAGAGCTCGAACACCCCAAAGACCGGCCCTGCCAACACACTGCACTTCTTCTTATATTGAACTGTAAAGCCGTGGTTGCTCCTGTGTTAATTATCATTTAAAAAAAATTACCCCCAAAAAAAAAAAAAGCTGCAATCCTTGATGTTGAAGCAAGACCCCAAAAAAGAAAAAAAAAAAGAAAAGAATCCAGTTAAAAAAGTAGAGGTTATATGTCCCTAATATTATGAGAGTATTATTTGCGTTCCTTACAAGTTCATGTACTATTAAAAGATGAGTAGCTGAACATGTTCATCGAATGTTTTCTGTTTTTCTAGCGTCTATATCCCAGCTGTCTCCATTGCCTCTCTATCCTGTGTGCTTTCTAAACTGTAACTCCTTTCCCCCTCTCATGTGTCTCTCCTATCCTTCTATGGCCATCTATTCTCATTGATCTATTCCCTGTCTTCTATAGAGATGAGGTTCAGGTTTGCCACTACAATGGGTTTATGGGGGGGGGGCACAGAGCAGCCATTGTGTCAGTGAATTGGAAGCTGTTGTAGGGAACGATAGGGAAAACTGACAAACTGCCTAGGGGGAAATTAGTGTCAGTTAGAAAACTGTACTTTCAGTCTGATTGCTAGCTCTCCGGCCAACCAACATCTTTGCTGCATTTTTTATTTTTTTCACTTTATTTTGTGGTTGATTTGAGATCAGGGGCCCCTTTTTTTCTTTTCAAGGTGATTTTACAATGAAAAAGGTGATATTTTACAATGAATGCTGCTCCTTAATGTTTTAAAGTGTTAGCTTCCTGAAGCAGATCTCCTGAGCACTGGTCCTGACTTCTGTTTGAGGCCCCATTCACACTGAGCGACATGAAAATCACGCAACTTTTTTTCCTATTGGGCTGTATGCAATCAGGAGCAAAATCGCTCGAAAAAAGGGTCATGTAGGAGCGACAAGCTACCAGCGACGAGCTACAAGGGATATTGAGTGATATTGAGCGACGAGATGTGAACAGCTCCATCGAAATGGATTGGAGAAGGTACATAGAGCGATATTGCGTGGAAATATGAGGGATATCGCTGCAAAAATCGCTCGATAAATCGCTCTGTGTGAATGGGGCCTTAGAGTGACTCCTTTCTCAAGCAAAGAGCTATGCAGTCACCCTGGTGTTTGCTAGTAAGCTGTGTGTCTCTCCACAAACACATAGAAGTGTCTCTTCAAACTAGAAGATGAACAGTTGCTGGAGTCTGCACTGTTTGTGATCTTGTACTGGACAGGATGTTCAGGGAAGATGAGCTGAGAGACTTGGAAGCAGCTGTCCAGAAACATGGTGATTGTAAATGTTTGGGCAAAAATGTAAAGCAATTCTTTGCTGGGCAATCCTGTATTTGTTTGATCTGGATTCATTATTGAAAAAAGGTTGAGCGTTTAATACTTTATTGTTGATAGGACCTTTTTTAAGTTTGGGATTCTTAAAGTGGAGCATTTACTTCTTACTGACCATCTGTTCCTGGAGCTGGCTTTTGTTTGCAGCATGCTACTACATCGTTTGAAAGGATAAAAAAAATAAAAATAAGTGCAACTATCCACATAAATAAAAGTTAGGCATACACCAGTTAGACCTATTATCCCTGATTTAAAACTCCTGCTGCTGGCCACTGCTTTATCCTCGACAGTTTCTTAATTCTTGTGATAAAACCCCAGCCTGTGCTTTTTGTCTCTAGTAAATCTGGCCTAGCCTTGCTGGTTGAAATTGTCCTCCTGCTGTGCCTACATTGCTGTGTCATCTTCAGTCTGTTAACTCTTGCAGTAAAACTCTTTTTTTTTTCTCCAGTACATTTTATACACCTGAAATGAATCAGATTGGGGGGCTGCTGCTGTATGTATGTCAAGCTAATTGTACAAGAAAAGAAAAAACTTCCACAGGCAAATATGTCCTGTTAGTGTACACTGTCCCTGAGACTGTTTGTGAAAAGCCTACTGTTTCTTAACACCATGTACAGCTTTAAGGCATCCCCAAGCATGTTTTTTACCCTCTCTTTATTGGCTATTGTAGTAAAACAGCCAGTAGGGGAAAATGTTGTCCTGAGCAGATGCTTAAAAATGTATTTTAGCTTTCTGTTGGCGCATGCACCGTGTGCATGCACAATGTCTTTGCTACTTCTGACAATAGACAGTGAAAAGCAGGCAAAAGACAAAAAGCCAATCTGAGCGGCTTCTCTGCCCAATACTAATTTAGTTTTGCATTCACATGGTGAACATTTTTGCCACGGTCTTATCTTTGTCCATCTGCTGCTAATGTTTTGGAGAGTGCAGCAGGCGGAGTGAGACTCGCTGGCAAGTGGGCAGAGCACAAAACCCTGGTGTTAAGTCTTTCTGGCATCTCTTTGTATAACTGAATTGTGGGTCTGGGGTGGAGTGACTGTTTAAAGGTATTCGAATGTAATTCACACAATATTGCTCACCTCAATACCAGAACCTTGGTCCTTTCCAAAAATGTATAATGTTTTTTAGGGTGTTTTTACAGTCCTAGCATTTTTATTTGAACAAAGTAGTGGGAACAAGTTTGTTTTCAAAATAGTAAAAAATAAAAGAAAGCTAAACTATGGTATGTATGTATGTATGTATGTATGTATGTATGTATGTATGTATGTTCCAAGCCACATGACAAGCCTCCCCACGATAAGGTATTTTTTTACTTTGGAACATGGCTTCATGAAAGTGCCTAGCTTTCCATGGCTATATTTGTAATGATGTATGCCAGGATCCCTGCCCCTTTATTTACATACAGCTGTCAGCTGGGGTATCTCTAGGCTGGTAGTTAAATGGGGCCAGGATTGAGTCATTAATTGCTAGGAAGCTGCCTTCTAGAAACCGATGTCACTTGCAATGGGCGGAGCCTGATGGGGAAACTAGTTCCCCATCAGTTCTGCTCCACTGATGATTGATGGCAGACAGTGGGTGGATTTCATAGCCAATAGACAGCCTGCTGTTGGCTATGGAATCTGCCAACTGCCTGCTGCCAATCAGTAACAGAGTGGACCTGATGGGAAGCTAGTCTCTTGGCATCCTTACCAGGCTCTGCCCACTGATTGTGAAGACATTGAATGCTTATCTTTTAGATTTAGGTTGCACCTGAATGTGAGGCTCACTACCCTTCCTCCATGACAATGCTGATGCTTGGCGATTGGTCACTTAGGCATTAGCGTTGTCACATGCAGGCAGTGAGAGACTCCTCAGCTCTGTGTAAGATGTGACTAGGATCCACTTGGAGCTTACACATGGCTTTTCGTCCTCACTCCCATGGATTAAGGGAACATCAGGAGAGTAAAGGTAAGGCAAGTATAAGTAACTGTAGAGGACAGCATTAAAATGAACCTGTTACTCTGTCCTGCATTATTACTTAACATTCAAGCTATACCATTTTTACATTTTTTTTTCTTTTGGGCAACCACAATAATATGTTTATTTGCTTTTATTTTCAAAGCAAAAAAGCTGTGATCATATGGCCTTAGATCTAATGAGAGAGCATTGCAAAAAGACAGAGATAAACTGGACTCATGTTTCTGATATAAGTGATGATTTACTGCTGAAGAACATTGCATATTACTGTGAAAAAGAATACAATGCAGGTAAGTGCCATAACAAAAGAAAGGGCATGTGTGTTTTGTACCACTGAAAGAATATACAGTAGATGCAAATGTAAGAAGATTATTAGATTATCCAGAGATTTTTTTTCAAAGCCTGCTGCCAGATAAGCAGCAATATGTGAATCACTTCACAAATCCACACTTTGTAAAACCTGTAAAAATGTTACGTCTGTTAGTACCATTACTTTATATTTTTGCTTCTGGTACCAGGGCTGCTTTTTATTTACATCCTAGCTCTGACTGTTAAAAAATGTAATTTGTTTTTCATTCTCTTTTTAAATATCTGAGCACATCAAAGCATTTAGTCTTCAGCACAAAAACAGGTTCATTAGAAATGCTAGGTCTTTTCTATGCTCCTTTCCAGCTAATTGACTTGAAAATAATTTTATCCATATATACTAAAGGAAGTTTAATATCTTATGACATGACAGCATACACATGATGAGGCACTGCCCCACCTGAGCTCCCCTAGGGCCCCATACCCAAAAAAAATGTAAGTCCCACCCAGCTGGCCCCTGTTCTTTTTCTGCTTTACAATGTAGGACCTCTGAAGCAAGATGAAGAAACACCCTTTACGTGTGAAGTAGGTAAATCTAGATTGCGTCACATGTGCAAGAGCCTCTGTTGGTCTAGTAGATTCTCTGTGGGTCCCCTTGGGCAGTGGGGCAAAGCCTTCTGTACTATAGCTCAATTATGGCAGCTGGTCAGTGGATGCTGTAGCCTTATATATTTTTGCAGGGCTCTTAATCCTTATTCTTATTTATATTGTAGACTCTTAATCCTCCTTCTTGCATTTTGGGTGCTGGGTTAGTGGGCTCCTTTTTGTTCTTACTTTGGCTGTAGTTCTTCGGTTTGTGGTGGAACAAAAATGATGTATTCCGCAGTCTTACCTAGCCACCATCTCTTCCGCTCCAGCTGTGCAGGCAAGGGTGGTGCACACCTTCTGCACTGCCCAGACAAGTCTCTTGGCACAGGAGCAGCTGTTGAGTGGGGTCAAGTGACGCTTCTGGTGGCCATCCTGTATGGACCATACCCAAGTTCATACAAACCCAAAAGGAAGCTGTCACTGCACACTTAATCAGCTGCAACAGGGGGCATTCCCTGCCACACAGCTGCACATAAACAAAGGGGCAGGATACTGGTGATATTATTGACCTTATATGACCACATACTCTAAATGTTTTTCAGATTCCAACCCCCTCAGATTCTAGTTTAAAAGCCCCTCCAACCTTCCAGCCATCTGCTTCCCTAACAGAGCTGCACCCTCCCCATTTAGGTCCAATCCATCCCGTCAGTAGAACCAGTAACTGACCAAAAAAGTTAGCCCAGTTCTCCATGAACCCATACCCCTTCTTACACCAGTTACTCAGCCACTTGTTCACTTACCTGAGCTACCGCTGCCTCTCTGGATTCCCTGGCACAGGAATTTCCTGAAGTCATTTTTAGGACACTCCATCCTTCTCTAATTTTGTCACCTGTACCATTATGTACTATGACAGCTGGATCCTCCCCAGCCTTTCCCTACAATATGTCAACCTGTATTCAATTAGAAAGAAAGCCAGCATGTGGGTTATGAGTATCATTTTGATACTTGCAAAAATAAATATGAATATTCTGGAACTTATAGTCCAGATTCAATATTGTGAAGAGGGCTTTAAATTGATACTCCTAACCTTAATTGATGGAACAACACTATAACATTGTCAAATGCATTAATCCAATGCATTAAAAGACAAACTAACAAAACATATAAAAGAAGTTGATATAAAAAGTCAGAAGCACGACGATGCATGTGAACTTCCCTGGACCCTAACTATATCTCTATCTATCTTTATGCATTTTTCTGTATCTTTCATAGTATTTTCCAGAAAATTCGGGGTTAGTAGGTCTTCTAATTTGTAGATATTCTAGGTTGAGCATATAGTTCTAACATCTAGATTATCGACACGTTTCACATTCAGGAGAGGGTATTCAATTATACCAAAGTGCTTAGAAAATGTGAAGACCTGCAGGAGCGTAACACCAAACAAAGGCGCCCCAAGTCCCCCTGTGTGGGCACCGCAAGTGGGTAAAAGTGAAATATATTGTAGCGATCACTGTTGGAATACAAAGGAAATAGCAGGAGATTCCGTGTATTCAACGCTCATACGCTGATGGAGGAATCTGAATAATTTTTTCATTCAGCCAGCAGCTGGGATATAGGATGGTGATATAGAAAGAGAATAGAGTAAAGTTAATAGAAGCTGGATGTTTATATCTTGACAATTTTGAGTGCTAGTAAATCCAGCACTAGCAAGGTCTATGAGATAATCTGGGCAAAGTGTGTTCAATTTTCTGCTGGAGTAAAGTTTAACGCAGTAAAACCCCAGGTTGCTTGAGTTCCTGCAGCTCAGCTGGACAAAGCTCTCACTCTTCTACCATTAAAAGTCCAGGTATCCGCATTATCTGCCAAGGTTCAGTTGGCCATGCAAGACCTGGTGAACCAATTCCTGTGAGGAAACTTAAGACTGTCTAAAAGCCCATTGTTTCCGAAGTGGTACCGGTCCCTGGTTTGGAGTATGTATCTGAACCTCCTTTTTAAAACAATAAAAATCGGACATTGTGGAATTTGACTCTCAGCCTTTTTGGTCACAATCATTTCCGACAAAAGGGTTTTGGAGTTGAAAGTGTTAGATAACTGCAGGTAACTGTTGGACATGGAGACACATCTGATGCATCGCTGAATGTGGAGGAAGTCTAACAGGCCTACATACAAGCACTCAAGCAGCTTCTGAATTTTGACTATCAGATCAAGTATTCATTATTCCTTACTGGAAGAGGGGAGGAAAAAGTCCTTAAATAGTCAGGACTATTTAAGGAACATCCAGGGCTAAAGATTTGGCACTACGTGAAGTGACATTCTACATGGAATGTCACTTACTGGGCATTTTCTGAAAAATAATTTGTAAAGTGGCAACATGAAAATCTCTGAAATATGTTTGACGTATTATCATGTTGATTTGCCTCTCTGACCACAGCTGAATATTGCATAAAAGGGCTGGTAGCGGCAAACTTTGAAGTAAATATTTATTTCTGGAAACTCACCCAGTTTTTTGACTAGTTATGTCCCACATGTGTGCTGCCATGAAATAGAAAACTGTTTTCAAATTTTCCTTTCTTGTGTTCTCTCCATGACGGAATACTTTCTGCCAAAGAAAGTATAGCGACTATTTACAGAGAAGGGGCCAGCTTGGTGGGACTTTTATTGATTGGTATGTGGTCCAATGGGAGCCTGGGGGTGGAGCCTAACCAAGTGTATGCTGTCATTAAGTATTTGTCAACAATTGGCTGTTATTTCACACAGCTGCTGGTAAAGACCAAAACTTCCCTTAAAGGACTGGGCTTATGAGAGGGGGTGGTTTGGCCATATGTGGACCAATCAGAATGGGAGTTTGGATCAGAGTGTGACTTAAATATTCTCACTTTCATTTTTATATTTTTTTCAGATCTGAAGTTGGAATTAGGGGAACAAATAAATGAAATGTATAAACATCTATGGAGCAGCATATTGAAATTATTTCCACAAGGAGAACATTTTCTGTCCTATGAGCTAAGAACAACAGTGAAACCTTTTCTGACACCGGAGTCATCTGTGAATAGTATGTGGATTAAACATATTTGCAATGTGTTCTTTAAAGTAAAGTCTCCTATATCACAGCCTAAACAAGTTCCAAATCCAGTTATGTGATGGACACGTCCTTTTATAAAGAAAAAAGAAACTTCCTTTACATACTGTAACTGAGCCACATCCTCCTTCATATGTGCCTCACATGCTCCCCCTGCCACACGCTGCAGCCTACTGTAGAAGGATTTCAGCAACCGAAGCATTGTAGCCAGTCTAAAAAATGGGCAGTGGGCAACACTTCCAGGGTTATTCACTAAAGGGTGAATAGTTTGAGAAAGCAGGAGAAGTGAGCAATCTAGGCCAAAATAGCTGACTTGGAAAATTTCTCCAATTCAGCTCACTTTCCAGTCCAGCTATGTTGTCTTAGATTGTTCACTTCTCCTGCCTTCTCCAAACTCTTCACCCTTTTGTTGGACAATGCTGAAAGTCCTGCCCCTGCAACAATTTTTCATCCCACTGTAGTAAAAGCAGGCACAGCCTTCTTGAGAGTGGCAACTCTGCATTACATTTAGAAGCTGTTAGGCATCATTGTCCCATCATCACAGAAAGCTACATTTGGTGGACTTCACTGGCAGGTTTAACAGGCATCTGTGGGACTTTGCAGGAGAACTAAGAGAAAACTATACCTGCAGATTTCCTTGCTACAGCACAATTTTTTTTTCTACTGGGAGGTCATAATTCTACTACGACTTATAAGAACTTACATTTTTGAAAATTGCTGTGACTATGCTAGGTCACATCATGTTTGTTTTTTTAAACCTAGACACAAATGAGCACTTACCCCTTGCAGTGCAGGGGTAGCCCCACTGCAAGAGTTAATAAAACATTTCCTTGTGCTTTTCAAGTGTCTGCATTTTTCTCAACCCAAAGTAGAGAATGGGCCCACAGTGGCAAACCTGACTCCTGTTTTTTATTTTTCCATAGCATAAAGCATAACATTTGATTGGTCACTAACAGTATTCTTAAATTCAACTTTTTCTGAAGAACGCTATTTTCTCCAGTGTTTATTAATAGGCCCCTTACTAAATGTAGTGTGCCTGGACACTCTGAGGAGGCAGACTTCTTGTTGAGAATTATGGGTGGTAAAGGATATGCATTGGAGAAATGCAGAGCTGAGACTGCATGCAACTTTAATTCCTGATGTAGCCATCATACAGATGTCAGGCACAAAAACACCATTGCCTTTTCATATAGGGCAAAAGGACTGATCATTCGCCAACTACAGATAATCAGCAAATAATCTTAATACAATCTAAAAAAAATTAAATGCAATAGAAGTCCAAATCTGGTGATTTCCTATGAGCTGACCTCTACAAGCTATAAGGTGCCAATAGACATTAGATAAGTCACATGATCCAGTGAAAAGCAGCTTGATTGGGTGATCTAATTGAAATGAGGCAACTTCAGATAGCGGCAGAGCTTCAGGTTGTTATTGGGGTTGTATGCTTGAGTATGGATGGATCGTCAATGCTCATCCAACACATCCCTACTGTCTATGATGATACATATTTTTTTATCATTGCAGATTGCTGCCACACAACCTCTGGTGCCCTTCACACCTACCATTTGCTAGATTAAAAATGTTCAATGTGAACCCATACTAGGCAAAGCAAACATAGGAAGGCTGTACTTTCCTTCCCTTGCTTCCCCACTGCAGTCAGAATCCCTGAGACGTTCTGTGCTAGTTTCCACTCTCTAAAAGTTGACTACAACCTCACATTTAGTCTACTAATTTTGTATTGAGATTGTAGTCCATGACAGGAGTGAGGTTAATGCGGTGGGACCATGGGGAACAAAAGTAGCGACCCTCCAGAAGGAGGATAGTGTCGGCACCAATTCAGAGATAATTTGAGGACTCCAAAATTTGGACTTGTATGTTGTATCTTTTATCTTCTGATGATGGCAAAAGATGTTGAGTGTGATAAACACCTTTGCCTCTGACACCTGTAGACACAAGCTTAGGCCTCCTGTGCCTAATGGTAAATCCAGTTTTTTTTTAAACAAGGCTGACTGTTGCAAAGTGTTCAGAATGGCTGCATTTTTTTACAGCTGTCATGCTGTTTGTGCATGTTTATAGCAATGGAATGCTGTACTAGGATTTAGATTTTAGAACAGGTTCCCAACCTTTCCCAGCTTGTAGGCTACTTACCTTTTGCCAGCAAAAGTAAGCCACATTATCCATAGAATTTAAGGGTTGCATTCACGAGCACAGAAAGAGAGAACTTCAACTAAATGATTCTTTTTGGTGTTTAGACAATTTTTTATTTTTTTTTAAAGTGGAAGACGAGGAAATTCTACCTACAGGGTTGTTACCTATGCGAAGTGATATCATTGAAGAATTTGCTGGAGATGCTATGAAGGAACTACCAATTTTAAACAGGTGGAAACATGTTACTGTTACATATTTATGTGGAGATTGTGGGGGTAATGCTTTGTAAAAATATTTGTTAAGTCAATCGCTAACATCTCATATGGGCATTAACATGTTAATGTTATTTCAAGTCATTTTCAATATTTTCTAAATCTGGAGCGTTCATTAAGGAAAAAAAAATTATTAACCCTTGGAGTCGGGCTACCTCTGCACTGCAAGGGTTCACTGATCGTTTTTGTCTAGGTGCTAAAAATAAAGGCTATACTTACCCATGGTCACTGAAGTCTGTCTCCTCCCACGCTCCTATACACAGTGTACAGAATGTGATGATTTTTGGAACCTTAGACCACAAAGGAGGGGGAGGGAAGCTGGAAGGACCAGTCTAAGAACAAGCCAGCTTCAAAGATCAAGTGAGTTTTAACCTACACAATAAATTAACACTTAACCCTTGCAGTGTGGGGGCATCGGGCCCGTTTAAACAGACTCAAGCCGCCGGGACTCTGTTTAGATTTGTAAAGCCCACTGTCGGCTTTACAATAGAAGCGATTCTGGCGACTCAGCTGCCGTCATCACTTCTACAGACCGGTAAACGGGCCACCCGCCCAACACGCCTCTGTTTCCCGGTCACCGCAGACCCTCCTAAGAGCCAGGGACCGGCTTCTCAGGTTTCGGGGTGTGTATGTATATATACACAACACTGCACCACACTGCCATCTACAGCTCAAAAGACATATCAACATTATATCAGTACAGTATGTGCTGTTGCATTTCCAACACCTCTTCTCAACAGCATATGCATTGCTATATGACATTTAGCTTCTTTTGAAGGAAACTGAGGTTGATCCTTTGGCAACGGCTTGGTGAGTGTGTCCGCAGTCATTTCTTCTGATGAGCAATATTGCATGTCGATAATAGCTTGCTCTTTAGTGTCTCTAAGCAGATGATACTTCACAACTATGTGCTGGGTTCTAGTGTTGACTTTTTCTGATTGTGTCAGCTTTATACATCCTTGGTTAATCTCAAAGATCTGGATGGGGTTTGACATGTCTGCGCCCGTGTCCATTAAAAGCTGGTAAATCCATATTGCATGACAAGTGTGTGCTGCTGCTATGTATTTAGCTTCAGTTGAGGAAAGTGCAACAGTTGTTTGATTTCGGCTAGACCAATTTATGGTTCCTTCCCCATATTGGAAGATGTAACCACTTGTGGATTTGCGATCTGTGCACCCTCCGGCCCAATCAGCATCCGCGTATGCGTGCTTTGGATTTGACGCTGCTGGCAGTTGTTGCTTCATCCGAATTGTTCAGTTTAAGTAATCTATTACCCTGTTTACTGCATTCCAGTCACACTGACAGGGTGCTGTGACTTTTCTAGCAAGTATGCCCACTGCTGCTGATGTCTGGTCTTGTCAGTGGCAATATATAGTAGCTTTCCAATTGCTCTGCGGTACTTGCCATAGTCGTGTAGCACAGCGGTCGCCAACTGGTGGTCTGCAAGAAAATGTTGCTGGTCCCCGGGCCCCTCTGATGCAGTGCAGGCCGGGCCGTCATTGAAGTGGCACGGAGGCTCCGTGGCTGCCTCTCACTGACTCAAGCAGCGGCTGTCACTAGGAATGCACGGCTCTCAGTACAGCGTGAGCTCTGCAGGAGGCGGGGCATCTTGTCAGTACCCGGACTGAGCAGGCACCAATGCCACCCGGGAAGCATCTACCCCACCTGCAAATCCGCTATCTCTTCTCATGCAGTCAATCAAAGACTGTTGGCAAGATGGTGGCCAGTATAATCGTGTGGATGGGCGGTCCACAGCCCAACAACCTACTGAGGCCGACACAATCGGAGATGTCCGACGCAGGGGAAACTCCCTGCCCTTCCGGCTTTGATTTCAACCTGGTGGAACCATTTATTGCTGCGGTTAAGGAGGCAATTGACTGGGAGGACCCGGTTCTGGAGCCAGCGAAGGTGAGACGCTACTTTCTACATTTGAAAAAATCCACGGCCATTTTTCCCAATATGGATGAGATAAAGTAACTTATCATGGAAGGATGGAAACGGGCGGAGAATGCACCAATTGTTAACAATCGCCTGGCAAAGTTATATCCGCTCATGGAAGATGAAGCGCTTAACTCAACTCCTCCACTGGTGGATGCGGCGGTAATGCGCCTAGCCAGACACATTACATTGCCCATGTAGGATGCAGTCTCTTTTGAGGAACTACTTGATCGCAAAGCGGATCTGAAGAAGGCATACATGGCTTCAGGAAATGCGTGTCGCCCGGCTATCGCCCTGACTTCTATTTCTCTGGCAATTTCCACATGGACTGGCAACATTGAGCAGGTGCTCAATTCTGATGCGAGTCTGGAGAATATAATTCTACAGGAAATTTGACTCTGGGGCGATCGGGGAAGCGGCTATACATGTACAGCTCGATCGATGCTAGCTACAATTACCTCCAGAAGTGCGCTCTGGCTAAGGCCATGGGTGGTGAATTTGGTGTCAAAAACCAGCTGGTGTCGCATCCAATTTGATGGTTCAAATCTCTTCGGACCGAAACTCGACATGGCGATATCAAGTTTACTGGGGGAAAATCTGGTCTCCTCACGCAAGATAGAAATAAGAAGCAGCCGAGATTCAACCCCAATAGAAGGCCTTTCTCGGAGCCCGCTAGAAATGCTTGATCCTACCGACCGGGTAGAGCGTTCAGAAGAGGGTGGAGAAGCACTCAATCTTCTCTCCGGGTTTCCAAGGCCGCTACACCTTCTGGGTGTCAGCCGCCCAAAAAAATCCTTTTGACCGTCAACGGCTCTCCACAGGTCCCGTGGGAGCACGTCTTCGGTATTTCATCTCGGCATGGCAAGACGTTATCCAGGATCCCAGGATCAACTGTGTCCCTGGGTCACAGATGGTCTTTCAAAAGAAAACCACCAGCAGGGTGGTTTTCTTACCACCCTGGGATCACCATCATCAGGACCAAATGCCCGCTTTGCAGAATACATCCTTACCTTACTCGAGAAAGGCGCAATCACCGAGATTCCTCCAGGGGAACGCTACTCGGGGTTCTACTCGCCCATGTTTCTGGTCAAGAAGAAGACCAGCGACTTACGTCCTGTCCTGGATTTGAAGGACCTCAACAGGTGCATACGGGTTTCTTCCTTCCGAATGGAATCTCTTCAGTCGATCCTGCCCTCCATTCGTTTGCGGTATTGGATGACCTCAGTGGATCTCTCAGATGCCTACTTCCATGTGCCCATCCATGCCAGGTTCCAGAATTAGCTGCGCTTTGCCATCAGGTAAACACACTTCCAGTTTGTGTGCCTTCCATTTGGTATTTCCACAGCACCTTCACCAAGCTCCTGCTCCCACTCATCGCTCACGCAAGGCTGCAAGGAATACGGGTTTTCCATTATCTGGACGACATCCTGCTTTTGTCCCAATCTTCTGCAGTTATCTTGCAACATCAGCAGCTGGTTCTCGCCCTGCTGCAGCGCATGAGTTGGTTAATCAACCTCAAAGTCTCAATTGCACCCCTCCCAACAGCTGGTGTTTCTGGGTGCCCTCCTAGACACCAGTCTGAACTCCATCTCCCTTCCGCTAGACAGTCATCATCATCATCATCATCCGGCACAGGGTTCTTCAGGCAATATAGTCACCATGGATGAGTGCACGCAAATGCCTTCTGAGCCTTCTCGGCATTCTCTCGTCTACCATCCGGATGATTCGATGGGCCCATTGGAGATTGAGGATATTTCAGTTTTACTTCCTGAAACAATGGAACAGAGCGGATCTTCGTCAGCGGATTTTCATCGCCCCAGACGTGAAGCAGTCCCTCTGGTGGTGGACTCAACAGCAGAACCTCCTAAATCACCTCATCTGTCCACCACAGCCTATGGTGATCACCTCGTATGCGAGCCTCCAAGGTTGGAGCGCACAGGGCAGGTGGTCTTTTCCATCTCAGGGTCTACCCTCAAACATCCTGGAGGTGAGAGAAGCTTTCAAAGGCCTCCTAACCTTTTCCTCCCTGATTCAGGTCATTCTGTTCAGTTGCAAATCGACAACAGAACAGCAGTGGCTTACATTCAGAAGCAGGGGGGCACGCACAGTCGTTCCATGCTGCAGGAACTCGAACCAATAATGACCTGGGCAAACACACCTATGGCATCTCTTGGCTATTTACCTACCGGGCAAGCAGAACGGCCTCGCCAACCTTCTGAGCAGATCAACTGTGGACCCGCACGAGTGGGAACTGAATCGGGAGTTTTTCAACATGGTGACGAATCATTGGGGCCTACTGCAGATAGACCTGTTTGCATCTCCCATCAACAGCAAAGTCCACCTCTGACCAGACTCTTCTGCATCCAGGCTGTGGCAGCAGATGCTCTGAACTGTCGGTCCTTCAACCTAGGCTACACCATTCCCCCCTACCCGCTGATTCCACGGTTTCTCCCGAGAGTGTCCACATTTCCAGGGGTGCTGATAGCAATTATACCATTCTGACCCAGGAGGCCATGGTTCCTGGCACTGCTGGAGTGGAGCCTCCTCTACCCGATCACAGCGATCTCCTGGTTCAGGACCCTCTCCTCCACCCAGCGCCTGATTCGCTCCATCTGATTGCCTGGAGGTTTCTCAGGTTTAGGATGTTCACAAGCAGTTATATCCACATTGCTGACGGCAAGGAAGCACTCTACGAACGCTACTTATCGGCAGATTTGGGACAAATTTACAGAGGCTTCGGCAGATGGAGGCTTTGACTACCGTACTCCAACGGTGAATCATGTTCTCGATTTCCGGCAGGCTTGGAGAAGGGCCTTAGCTTGAACTCCCTCCGGGTTCATGTCTTGGCCATTTCCGCATTATCAGGATGCAGGTGGGCCTTGGATCCATTGATCATTCGCTTCTTGAAAGGATGTATGAAGCTCCGTCCCCCGGTGAAACCATTGTTTCCACAGTGGGATCTATCTCTCGTCCTGGATGTTCTACAACACGCTCCCTTTTATCCGCATCTGGAGACGTCTCTCTGGGACTTGACTCTCAAAACCACCTTCTTTCTGGCTATTACATCAGCTAGACTGGTTTCCGAGTTGCACGCTCTGTCAGAGCCATTCTGCATGTTTTTTTTCCCAACAGGGTTGTTCTGAGGACTCACCCTTCCTTCCAATGGTTACCTCCTCAGTCCATCTTGATCCAGAAATCGTTCTTCCAACGCTTACGGATGACGGAGGTGCGCCACACGCACTTGATGTGTCCAGCACTCTACAGGCATATATTAGCACAACGGAACCTTTTAGTCTTTTGCATAATCTCCTTGTCATCCCTCTGGCTGCGCTACCCTTCTTGCATCCCTAAGGGATGACAAGGAGATTATGCAAATCACCAGGTTCCTTTCCTGGTGCATTATGCAGATGCACCAGGAAAGGAAAATTACAGAAGGTAAGTATACAATTTTCAGTTTTCCTGGGGCTTCTCGGCAGCACACCATGGGAATTAGTGATCACACAGGGAGGGAAATGCCAAGAAAAATGTATTCAGAGACTTGAGCAGCCAGGAGGCAAGAATGCTCTTCCCAAAAGTCAGTGGTAAGGAGTGCCGGGTTCACTCTATAATGGTTGATAATGTATTCCTAGAGGACCAGGAAGCTGCTCTGCAGATCGTCTCAGCGGAAACTTTTGTGTAGGCTGCCCAAGAAGCTGCCATGCCCCTCGTGGAAGGTGCCCTTATCTTCTCAGGTGGATGAAGACCTCTATTGGAGTATGCCTTTCTGATGAGTTGTGACTTTTATTGTCAATTTGTCAGTTTTTGGGTAGAGGATTCTATATCCCTTACTGTATTCACTATAGCCCACCAGAATACCTTCAATGGCTGTGCTCTCAAACTTGGATCACTTCTTGTTGGGAATATATGTGCAAGCTTTACATTCAAGCCCTAGGCTAGGCTTTGATCCATGGCACATTTCAAATGTCAACAGCTTTTGATTGTGGTCTGTTCTGTAGGTATGTTGCAGTCATGACTGCTTCTCCCCAGTACTTCTTAGGTAGGTTGGCGTCTTATAGAAATGGCCAGACGCATGCTGTCAGAGTCCTTCTTCTTTTTTTTTTTTTCTCCATTCTGCTACCACCATTTTGTTCAGGAGTGTATGGTGTTGTGGTCTGGTGTACTATACCCTGTTTCTTCAGATATGTCCACTTCCTTACTGATGTATTCCCCTCTGTTGTCAGTGCGGATAATTCTTAGTTTCGGTGGGAATTTGTTGCTGGACATGGATACAAACTCTTGAAGTTTTTCTGATGTTTCATTCTTGTGCTTCATCAGATAAGTTGTTGTGTACCTGGAAAAATCATAATTTAAAAGTCAGTTAATAACTGCTTGCCATCTTTCAGTAGCTTGTATGCGGCTCTTGTTGACTTGCAGTGTTCTGTTTAGTGCCTAGGTTTATAACATGTTGGTTATGTGTTTAGATGCACTGAGATCTTGAGGAATGCTGAATTAAAGTGACAAAGCATCATTTTTTTCCCCTCTCCCCCCAAAGTTGATGTCAGCACTTACCTTAAATGATGTCCCTTAATCCGATCTTCTTTCCTGTCCTTTTCATCTGTCCCTCCAGCGCGGCTGCGGGTCTCCGATCCAGCGCCGACTCCCTGCTGGCACTTCCTGTCTCATGGTGTCTGCATGTGGGTGCACACCGTCCATAGACTTACCTTGTGTCTCTTCTCCGGCTCCCGGCCGAAAATCTGAACTGTGCATGCGCCCGCCCCAAGATCCTTTGCGGCCGCCCGGGATTTTTCAGATTTTTGGACGGGAGCTTGTGGTAAAAGACACAGGTAAGTTTTAACCTGTTTGAAAGGGTTTATTTTTATTTTTTGTTTGCCTGGAATTTGACTGCTTGCTAGCAGTTGATATGCAAAAAACCTGAGGGTTTAATAACCCTTTTAAGTTTTTTACTTGCTTAGAAGAATATTACATCTACTGTATGTATACAGCATTGTGCAGGATATATATATATATATATATACTCTATCTCTCTCTCTCTCTCTTCCTGTGTATCATAGATAAGCATGCATATGGAGAGCAACACTGCACCACATTGCCATCTAAAGGAAATTATTTTGGCTCATGTTATTATTTCACACCTATGCTAACTAGGTTTTTATTGTGTAAGTTTCTTGACCAGTCGACCATACTGTTTTGTTTGTACACAATAGAACAGCTGTAGGGAATTTTGTCAAAACCTGTTTAGTTAAAGTGACATTAATCCCTCAGATTTTGCAACATAAAACAATACTGTAATGTGTGCCTTGCTGTAATCCATGGTAGTCTCCCTTCTCTTTGCTGCTCTTCCTTTTAAATCCTTCTCTCTTCTCATGCTGGGCAGAACTTCTGTTTTGCAGCAGACTGCCTTGTCTCTGAAATGGATACATGGTGTCTGTGTGTAGGTTCACAACCTGAGCCAGCACTACAGGAAGAGGCACTCAGCTGCAAAGTGAAGTTCTCCCCAAGCATGAGAAGAGAGAAGGATTTAAAAGGAAGAGCAGCAAAGAGAAGGGAAACAACCATGGATTACAGTATTGATTTATGTTAAAAAAGCTGAGGGTTTAATGTCACTTTAACATGAAAGGGGTAATTGGACCAGCCAGTCAGAAATCCTTTCTGTGTTAGTGAATGGCACTAAACTGTATATGAATTCAGAGCCTAAAGTGGCCTGGGGGGATGATTGGAGTCATGTAGAGAGGTACATAGGTGCATATATAGAGTGAAAATATATGCTGGGTGGAGTGGGTCCTTATGGAACCTTTTGTCATCTGAGGTCTAGATATTTTATTTTGATTATTACTCTGTCGAACTGTTTCTGTTCATCTGTTAGTTTGATCCAATTAAATGCTACTCTCTCTGGAAAAGAACTGAGGTCGCCTGAATATTTCCTGAAGATCCAATTTTCACAACGCACATAAATATGTATATTTGTGTATTTATATATTTATACACCCCCGACTATTTGATCACTACACTGTTGCATTTCCAACACTATATACTGGAGTATAGTGGTTGGCTATTTTTATTGTGAACTGTAGACATAAAAAAACACTATTTTATTCATGTAAATTTGAACATACAGGCATGTGTTGTTGGTAGAAATCTTTGCATATTGCTCTAGTCTTTGAAGATACATCTATTCATTGCATAGATGTCTATCCAGTTAAATTGACAATTATTGTGCTGTAATGTTTGAATAGATCTATTTAATCAAAACGGTTCTTGCTTGTGTACTGATACCTCAGACACCAGGTATTTATTATCCGTTTTATGCACAAATAAGTAAATATAAACTTATCTAAGAAACAAATAAAAAAAGATGCTTTATTTTAGTTTTTTTTTAAGAATTATAAATAATGTATACTGATTGTTTTAATGGAAACTCGTATATAAAAAGTGATTTGACTGGACAAATCCAATGTACTTTTTTGTTCACTCCCACAAAATATGCTTCATCGCTTTCTTTTTTATATTTCAGCGATGATCCTGTTTTTTCTTCACTGTTAAGAAAAGAAACATGTGATGAACTTAGGCGTTGGCATTTAGGTCGGCCACTTAGCGATGACTATGACAGGACAAAGAATAATCAGCAAGGTAAGGAGAAAATAAACCAAGTAAATATTATCTTCCTTAATGATGTAATTACTGATCTGGTACACTGACATGGTAACCCCATTTAAAGTAGCATAAAGTAGGGCCTCTGCACATTTCTTAACTCTTAAACACATATCTTGCTAACTATTAAAACATGGATTCCTAGCTCCTCATAGTGCAGTAGGTCTCTATCTGGCTTACAATGCTAAAGTGACCCAGCATCTGGCTATCTTACAAAAGCTACCTTTTATATTATACATTTACATGTTGTTATACACCATTAAAGAAGAACTTCAGGCAAAACTTTTATTAACATTTGCAGTGGGGCTACCCCCACACTGCAAGGGTTAACTGCTAATTTTTGTCAAGGTGCTAAACAAAAAAATTATACGCACCCAAACTGCTGAGCTGGATACCTGCTTCTCTAATCTCTGAAGCCTGTCTGCTCCTATGCTGCAGAATTGGAATGTTCTCAGCGTCCTCAATCTATACACAGTGTATAGATTGTGATGATTTGCGGGACCTTAGACCTCTGCAGAGCTATCCACTGGAAGGCTGGAAGGACCTGTCTAACAGCAAGCCTACTCCATGGTTCAGGTGAGTATAACTTTTTTTTGTTTGTTTAGCACCTAAACAAAAATGAGCAGTTAACCCTTGCAGTGTGGGGGTAGTCCCAATGCAAGGGTTAATAAAAGTTTTGCCCAAAGTTCTTCTTTCATTTATGAACAGAACCTGAAAACTAGCTCAGTCATGAAGGGGTTAAACATGACCCTAGTTAGCCATCTATTCTGAAAGTGCTGTCACAAGCTGGGTGCAAAGCTTAGCCTCTTATTGCTTTAGTTTGTATGACTCTGATGACATACTTGATAACCAGGTACTATTCCCATCGGCACTTCAACCTTCCATGACAATACCATCAGCTACACTGCTGGCCAGCATCAGCTCAGTGGTGATGGAAGAAATGTCTGCTGCAACAGACAAACTCTCCTCACAACTCCCACAACCCCAGAAGATCCCCCTCAGGACATAGTTAAATTCCATTATTTCCAAATGAAGGAAACCCCTTTAACAATAGCACGCACGAAACCGGATCTTTCATTCCAAGGTGAGACATTCCAGTTGTTCGTGGATATCTCCCCCATCACAATATTGAAGAGGCGGGCACTGAAACCCTTTTTGAAAATCCTACAGACCAACAATATTGCCCATCGCTGGGGTTCCCCCTTTAAACTATTCTTTGCATGCAAGAATAAACAACACCACGCCGGTAACCCTCGGGAGCTCCTAGCCATCTTCAGAGAGCTGAATCTCGAACTTCCGCGCCTAAATCACCAGGCTTCCCAAGATTCCCTATCCATTGGTACCCCATGAGCATTGCGTTCAGTACTCATCCCCCCTGAGAAGAAGCCTTCTCAACGTTCGTAAGCATTACAACGCCTGCAGCCCCAAAACATTTGCGCCTCCAGTGATAGATGACAGCCTTCACACCACCACTCTTCAGAGAATCTTCCGGATTCCATTTTTTTTTTTGCGTAATTTTGCCTATTCACTTGAATTTCCATACGTTTGCTTTTAAGAGACTGTTCAATAGTAGTTTGCTATATCGCTGACCTCACATGTTATGAGATGTGGGCTAGGCATACCCAATAATTATGTCCCTCTGTTGTGCACACTTTAGACTCTTGACGACCTATTCACATACCGATAGGTGTTTATGTTATTTGCTCTACTCTACCCCACCAACTATCTACAGGACACCCAAATACTACTTCTACCTTTACTCCTACCTTGGATAAACGAACAGTGTTTCTCCTTGTCTTCCTCCCTGTTACGTACCTGGTAAGAGATCAAAAGGTGAGGAGGTTTCTCTTGCGACTCGTGTCCTTCCGCCCTTGGAGGTGGAAACAGGAAGCAGTTGGACAGCGAGGAGCACGAGTGCCACTGATGGAACCGACACTGTGCAGGAGACGTCCAGATGATGTGTAGTCAGCAAGCCGGGGGTCCACCAAGCAGATGGCGTGGAGCAGGAACAAGAGACTGGAACGTAGTCAGGAAAGCCAGAGGTCGAAGCCAGCCAGGCAGCGGAGTACAAAATCAGGAAGCAGAGGGCAAGTCCAGGACACAGGCTGAGGTCAGGGGCAAGCAGCAATCCTATAGCAAAAGTCCAAGCAAGCCGGGTCAGGAAGGTCACAGGAACACAAGCTGAAAAGACCATCAGCACTGGAGCAGGGGCAGGCTCGTCTTTATATGGTGGACTAAATCAGCAGCATCACTTCCTGTGCGATGGCCGTTGCGCGTATTTCCGTGCATTTCCGGGTTGCTTGCACGCAATGGCGCAGTTTCCGGCCACATGGAGCTTTGGGTTGCGCGCATGCGCGGCTGCCATTTTGCCCTTACGCTCCCAC